CGACGGAGATCATCACGTCGCCGAACGGTCACCGGGACCTCGAGATCAAATTTTACTCGCCCTCGCCGAACGCGCCGATACCCGAGGAGGAGAAGTGTGTCTTCGCGGAGGAGGCGGACGAGGACGAGGAAGATTTCAGCGATATTTGGAGCTACCACGAGTCCAAGTTGCAACAGGATTTCCGCACGTTGCTGCAAGCGGAAGAATAAACGCGAACCGAAGCAGATCCTCTTTCGATGTGTGTCTGCTCGTCTGACTCGTTCACGGTGGAAAGAGAGAAAGAGAGAGAGAGAGAGAGAGAGAGAAAACACTCGCATTTTTCTTCCTCCATTCGCGTCGATTTCGAATCGACTTTGATTTGAAAGAGAGCGCGCGAGCGAGAGAAAGGAAGAGGAAGGGAGAGACACGTATGAGTGTGAGCGAGCAAGCGAGCGAGCGAGAGAGAAAGAGAGAGAGAGAGGTTGGTTCTGGAGATTCAATTAGCTCGCCGATAGAGGGAACGGACTTGCGTAGGCGCGTGCGCGAGACCGAGGAGGAAACGTTTCGAAAAAATCTTTCGAAAAATCGGTGTGACCGTAGTTATGTATTCTTTCCTCCCTCCTCTCGATCTCGTCCTCCCCGTGATGATGACGCCCTCGTTGTCAACAGTCCTCGGTGAAACGATCAACGAGTGTAACTGACGGTAACGAGCAGAGCCACTACGTGTCGAACGATTCTTCTTCCTAACGGTGTACGTTGTATACACGTAGTATACGTGACGTGCGTGCACACGTACGACGAAGCACGCACGAGAAGAGTAGGTTCGAAGGAATCGTATCTTGATGTCGAGGAGGGGGGGATACAACACGCGGTCTGCTTATCGATGACAACATATACTACTAATAAACGGTGGTCTTTTCCTTTTTTTCTTTCTCTCTCAGTCTGTCCCACCTTCTCTTTCGTCACTGCCCTCTCTTCGGCGGCGTGTCGTGTTCAAAACTCTGAAGAAAATCTGAAAACCGTTCTTCAACAGAGACCATCGTCGACCATCGTCGACCAGGGACGAATAAAGACGCGACTGTTCAAATGCTAGTTAATTAAACCGACGGAACGATGAATCGTTCGCCCATTTCGGTCGTAAGAAAGTTCGTATCCCGTTTAATTCCCAGTTTCTAATCGCACGATGCTCGGACGATCTTCTTGAGGGTTTCTCCTTACTTCTTCGCGAATCGTTGCTCCCTCCTTGTCGAAGGATTATCGTCGTTATCTTTTATCGCGTACGAGACTCGCCGTAAATCCTCGAAAGCTGCCCGATAAATTGCCCGGCTATAACGTCTCCCTCGTACTTTAGATACGCTCGAAATTCCTGCGTGCTGTTTAGCTGTAACGTTTCGAAAGCAGAGCCCCCGCCACGTTTACGTAAACCTTTGCGAAACGCTAGCTTGTGTTACTCTATTGAATTACTTCGATCATTCCCAGAATGGTTTCTTGCGGTGCGCGTTGGCAGCGCAGTGGCTGGCAAACATCCCGCGATTCCTTTGTTCGTGCAATTAAGTTCATGATAAACATGCATTCACGGGGCTGGGGATGGGTTGAACAGTTTGTTTCAAGCCCCTTTGCGCGATTCGCGTTCACGCTGACGCGTAAAGCATTCCTCTCCTGACCGCGTAGTATAACAGTAGTTGAATTTTAGTTGCATCGATTATCGGGGAACTCATCTTCCTCCAGTTGATTGTCTCGTTTCGTCTCGTGATGCCTGAGCGCATCTCGTGTTAAATTTTGTCGTTAAATTCCTTCGTTGTCTTGTAACAGCCCTGTAATAATCTCTGGAAAGTTATCAGTTACTCGTCTTGTATTTAGTTACCAATGTTTGTTCAAAATTCATTCGACGTTGTACGTCGTATATCGTGCAGAACGGAAGAGAGAGATCGAAAGATGTGCTTAGGGACCGAATGAAAAACCGATCGGTTGCACACCGAAGCGTTTCTTGGATTTTCACTGCTTTGGTTGCAACCTCGCACCACTGCGTTTTTGCAAGTTACATTCCACGCAATTCGATATTTTACTACAAAGTCACGCGATCGAAGAGCGCGCAAGACGATCCTTGAAACATCCTCGAACGAAACTTGAAAACATTTTATCACACGAAAAAGGTATCGCGTAATCGGTGGCGTTTACGAGCATCGTGTGATCTTGAGCCGCGTTTTCTTGCTCTGTTACTCGTCGAACTTGATCCTTGGGGACCGGGACCGAACCCTGTATGAACCTTTGTCGTTTCGTACGAGAAAGAAAGAAAGAGAGAGAGAAAAAAGAAAAGTCGCAACGGCGTGCACGTTTAACAGACGACACGAGGGCGTGAAAAAAATACATCGTGTGCGTATCTGTCACCCCACCATCCTCTTTCGTTTAGACTATAAGGCCTAGATGTTAAGGCGATTCACTTAGATTATCACCGTTGTCTATATGTGTATAGAAGAGAGAGTCGTGTGTCAAACGGTCCGCCTTTTATTTACCATTTAGACCGTTAGGGGATTATTGAGACGATGACGGCGACTTCGAAGGCAACGAAAGCGCGTGCCGCGGGAATTCACCGGCGTTTCGATTAATTAATTAGGCTTGGCGCGTGCGTGCGTGCGTGCGTGCGTGCTTCGTGTCCAGGGTTTAACCATGGTCCTCCGTACACGAAGAATCATATTGGCAATATTTCTCTCTTGCTCTGGTTCTCATCGTACATAGCAAGTTTTATTGCTACAGGTAGCAACAGACAAATATTGATACTGACTCTTGTTAGAGCAGCGTGAAACCGCGTAATAATAAAAGAAATAATAAAAGAAACGAGACAAGGGAGAGATGTGATCGTCGCTGCTTTAATAACGTCGTCGTTGATATTTTTCTTCGGGGTATACGTATAAACGCCGTTTTCGAACGATATCGCGTTCGTTCTTGTGCAACCGAAACGCGTGTGTTACCCAACGTTAGTAATAGCGTTTACTGATAAATTCGCGTCGACGTTTTCTTTTTTTTTTTTTTGCCCCTTCCCCCATTTATAAAATGTATCACGCATATTTTGTTTCGTTTTTCTTTTTTTTTTTTCCCCCCACTTTACCGAGTAATGCATCGTTCGTTGGCAGCGTTCGTCGAGAAACGATCAGATTGCACCTGCATAATCCGCCTTTTCGGAAGAAAGGCTTCCGCGTCAAGAAACGTTGCCGCCGTTCCTCTGATACACATTTCGCGTGGAACGAGATTTCGTAGCGCGATACAGCACGAACGATAATAATGTTCGCACCCGAAGCTGCTTGTCCGTTTATAGTTTCCACGAAGGATGAACGACGAGAAAGTTTAATTTATATTCGTGTTTGAATCGGTCGAGTTTCTTCTCCCCGTTCTGTTCTTTTCTTTTATTTTATTATTTTTTTCTTTTTTTTTTTTTGTGAGATTCAACGAGCAATTCGTCTCTCGTCGTATATCGCGAAACGTTTCGAGATGTACGCGTTCGAAGAAACGGAAAATTGATACGAACGATTTCAACGAACAGAGATGAACAATTCACGTGTTTCGTTTCATCAAACTGCTCGGAACGAAAAGAAGGAAACAAGAATTTACGTCCGGTTCTTTTCTCCCGTTTTTGTGTGTGCGTTTTTGTGAAGATTCCATCGCAGCCGAAGAATCAAATGTGAAAGTATGCTCGATTTTTGTTCTTTATCGATCACGTGACGTGAGCTTTGACGAACGCTTCATTTTCGGTTTCTACCCACTAATTCTGCTTCTTGTGTTTTGCTGATTGTGATCATTTGCCAATCGCGCTGATTTTCGCCGTCTGATCTCTGGAAGAGGAAAGAGAGAGCGAGAGAGATTTCGAAGATCTCGACAAAAGAAGATCGCGTCGTTGTTTTTTTTTTTTTTTTTTTTTTTTTTTTCGAAGATATTTTTGTTTTGCGCTTCGTTGACTCGAACAGATTTCCCCCTTTTTGTTTTCTTTTTTCTTTTTCTTTTTCTTTTTTTCTTTTTCATTCGACTCTTCTCCCTCTCTCCTTCTGGATGTATTTATTTCGAACGTCGTCGTTCGACGATACAAGATACATATTGTGATAACGAAACGATGATACACTCGATTCTGCTTCGTCGTCCAGATTGATCAACGCTGATCAACCAATGTCGCTACAGTGCTGCACAGCACTGACTCGAATTACATTGTTTGAGAAATTCAATAAAAAAAATGTCTTTAATTTAATTTCGCACATGTCGGAATTTTATTGGTTACCCACCTTTTCGACTCAATCATTTCTGACTTTCGTTGTCATTTATATTCAGCAACGTGGCGAACTAAAACGCCAATTCATCCATCTCACAACGTAGACATTCACAATTTTTTGCGTATTATCATTTATTAAAGAACGTGTCGCGCTAGAATGCCGATTCATTCATTTCGCAGTGTAGAAATTCACAATTTTTTTGCGCGCTTTCATTATTACATGTCCGTGCTGATTGATCACGAAGTTTGTCATTTCGAATTTTCATCGAGATACCTGGTATTTTCAATTCAACGGTACAACTAAAAATACGAATCTACTCGAAAAGAAATAATTCGGAAGAAAGAATAAAATCTGATCATCAAAGTGTGAAAATTTATCGACTGTATTTAATCCTTCGGGAATGATGTCCGACTCTTGTCAGAAGATCAGATGTAACCAGAAATTTCATAATTTTATTATTCATAAATCGATCAATATGTGTGTCGTCAAACCTAACCTAAATCAATGAAAATGATCAAAAAGTCTAATTTATCAACATCAGGCGTTGTCTTTGAATGGTTAAATAGTTCTTGTGATTAATCGGAATCGATCGAGAATGAATAATAAAAACAGGTTATATTACCTGCGAAAATGAACAAAAAACGTAGAGCACAATTTTTTGACAAGACGTTTTCTTGAGAAAGTTGAACAATTTATCAAGTCAATTCTTAACCAAGCTTTATTCAAACCCTATTTCCTTGAAAACGAGTTGAACGGAATAATTTGTCGCAGATAAAATTTCTTGGTGTTAACTTCTGCCTGTCGATAGATTTTCAAGCTTGATTTCCTCGACAATGAAGCAAACGAATGAAAATACTGTATTCTTTTTTCTTTTTTCTTTTTTTTTTTTTTACGTAGAATCACTCTATTTTTAACTGTCGAATTGGAAACATTTTTTATCTCCATTTATTTTCGACAACAATTTTCAATTTTTA